TACGACCGCGTGCCATTACATCGTTGTGTAGTCCTCCTTTCGCCGCCGATATCCATCGCTTTGGGTTTTTTTGTTTCTTTTTTTCTTTTTTTTTCTTGCAATGCCTAGACCACTGATCGAGTGTTCTGATAGCATTTTAAAGCAATTGTTTAAAATGCCTTCTAGTCACTTCGAAAATTTGAGACGCATGATTCAATTAATTTCATTGAATTTCTATTTGTCAAAATTTATATTTGTTCGAATTTTTATCTATCATCAACTGAAATTTCATTTCTATTCAGAGAAGGAGTTGAGACTATGTTAAGTATCTTTCTAATAAATTTAGAGAAATTCACTATAAAATAAGAAAATAAAGTGTGTCTGCTATTATAATTTAAAAAAAAACATATTTGCTAAGTAGCAAAAAAGTATGTAGTCTAAATTTAGAAACACTGGAAATTATAATTTATACACTGTAAAATAATGAAGTTGTTGTTGTTATTATTATTAATTTTTTTGTTGTAAAAACCAAACCCTTCTTTCAGTGCAAAGGAAGTTAATGCTAAGGAGAATTAACTCAACTCAAAAATATATGCATTTCACTTTTAATTAAACCCTTTTAATTTTCAAACCTTGTAGAATGCAGCATCATATCAATTTTTTTAATCTCCACTTTCTCATCTTCAGCTTATTATAGTGACCATTTATCAAATCTGTCAGACATTTCGTTCTCGAATATTCTTTGATGACGAAAGGAGGAAAAAATGAACTTTTGCAAGTGACGACAACTGATGGGTATATGGAAGCAAGGAAAAAAAATTTATTGAAAAAAGGGGTTCGATTGAGCATCTGGATGAAAAAAGATAGGCGTTTTTCCCACATAGAGCGTGTAATCTACACACACGTGGCACATGTGATATGCAATCATCAATGGCTAGAACAGAACTACCCTTTGAATTATACTACGTGGGGTACTTTCTCTGCTTTCTACATATATAAACGACAGAGGTTCCTATAATCCACCATTCGCAAACTGACGAACGGATTCGGTTTAATTTTACATGGACTTAGTCTTGACTGCTAAATTGTAGAAAAAAAGGTTGGGCCTTTAATACCTTTATGATCCGGTATTTATACAGCCTTTAACCCCTCGCCCTGTGGGGTTTAGTGCAAGTTACGAAATATTTGTTCAATTTCCAAAACTGTCGGATTAAATGAATCAGTTAAACTTTTTAACTGTAATGATCATTTTGAATTTAAAAAAATGGAATTATTACAATTTCACAACCATTCTTTTCTAGCGTTGGTCAAATTATTTGATCGGGACTCCCAATTCATATTATGATTTTTTGAGAAAAAATCAGTGAAATTATGTTTGGCGCGGCGATGTTCGTCTCATTTTTCCCACCCGTTAGCGTATATCTATAGTGTGATACAAAATACCGCGTTCGTAAAGTTTCTTTATTAAATTAATTTAAATTATAGTTTCTCATATTTTTGCGTGTCATAAAGTAATAGGAAGCCATTTTAATAATTGTTAAAGTTTCCGAACATTATATTTGCAATTAGTAAATTCCTATTGAAATTAAATATGATAAACTATAGTGAAAAACTGAATTTATTTTTTCATTTTCAAAAGAAACGCTAATCTCAGTATTTTAGAAAATGACATTTATATTATATTTTATAGCAATTTTACGACCGTGAAATGATTTATTTTTCAAAAGAAACTTTAAAAAGTAACATCCATCGCGTTGGATGTGTAGATATAAGGCTTTTGCCCGTAAACCACATCGTTCGTAACTTTGAAAAATGACTTTAACAACACGTATAATCTTAAAAAAAAACTACCAATTGAACCTAAATTGCAGTAGACTAAGAAAAATCAATTTTATTCCATTTTTTTAAATAGAATGTTTTCCTGGAAAATGAAAAAATTCCTTACAAATTCAAATAAAATTAATTAGCACGTCTCTATTATTTTTTTACCTTAAAACAACACGTAATACCTTCAAAAAAACCTACCAATTGAACCTAAATTGCAGTAGACTAAGAATAAATAATAATAAACATTGTTTAAAAACGTTTTAAACGCAAAATTTTGAATTTTCCGCACATAACAGACAGAGTCTATGTTATTCTAAACATTTTCCGAAAGGCTTTTTTAAAAAATATTCAAAATTGTGCTTTTCACATACCTGAGAAGTTTGCGTGTCATGCGCCATGATTTGTGACGTCACGAAGGTTCAAATGCTCTTAACCAGGTCTTCTGCTGCAGCCAAAAGAAAAGCAGAAAAGAAAAGGAAAAAAAAAAGATGAAACAATGCTTAGCTCGAGGGTGAAAACCAAAGAGAGAACCCAAGCAAACCCTCGAGTCTCCCTTACCTATACACTTTATATATACGTGCACCCTTTCTCTTATAGTAACTCCCCCAACACTCGAGCCACCCCTCAACTTTTCCATACAAGAGTATCTATTAAACTAGCACAATTTAATATTTACCAATGTGGCTATACGCTTCATTGTAAAGAAACATTTTCTTGACTATGCAATCTTTACGACATTTTTCTTTATGTCTTCATCTCGATAAAAGAATAGGTACCATCATGTTTATCTTTTGCATTATAAATGGTTCACAAGATTTCAGCAATGGTCCAAAAGGGTAAAATTAAAAAATTAATTTTTAAGCTTTTTCAACTGAAATCACTGAAATGTTATACAAATTTTGAACATCCTAAGTGCTGCGAGCAAATTATCCCAGTGAAACTTATAGTAAAAGCGGGTATATCGAAGAAATGGCAATTTCATCGGCATTATTTCCGACAAGGTCAGAAGAAAAAAAGGGAAAAGTGCAATATTTTTGTTGATAGGAGGTGCATCAAGGTGGATATGGTGAAAACCGGTTTATCTCGAATGTGAGAACCAATGATCGAAAGGCCTTGAAGAGGAAGCATCACTCGGAAATCGGATAGAGACCACATCATCATCATCATCATCACCAGAATATCGGTTGTACAAGTTTCAACCTTAAACTTTTGTAAGTAGACCTGTTTCGAGGTTGGTATAAAACGATCCGAAACGCTACAAACATGCAAAAGGAAAGAAATAAGTCTTGATTCAAAAGAAGCGTGGTGAGAGGAAGAAAGGAAGATGACCAAGTCAGATGGTTACGGATTTGCATTTTGATAAGAAATCTCTCAGAGTAAGTTTCTCTCTCTCTCTCTCTCTCTTTCTCGAAGACAAGAAATCTTTTTACATCTCTTCTTTCTTTATCAGTCTCGTATCTTTGTCAAACACATTTCTCTATCTAGGTTTGTCTCCTTTTCTCGTTAACTTCTTCTTTATCCAGATCCTTTTTCTTATCGTGTTTTCTTCTTACCTCATTACACCGGATTAGCTTCTTCGACTCGCTTCGCTCACAGAGGGTAAAAAGTCATTTCAAGCAGTATAAGTTTAAAAGCCCGTTGTAAAAGAATTCATAAAGGTAAAATAATTATGAATGAAAAAAGCCACCCATTTATTTACAATAAAACTATTGTTAGAAAATAAATTATTAAACACTCTTCTTTGTTTTTGTAATATTAATTAATCCCAGAAAACTTAACCAATTTTAAATCCTTATTATTATATTATCCTTATTCCTTATTGGTGGAAAAAATTAATTGTCAATCAATTTGAGAAACTTGAAGAAGACTTTTCTTTTTCTCAAAAATCGAGTGCTAATCTTTTCCTATAACATGTTAATTAAAAACTGATTTTGGATTATGTTAAATCTTTAAAAATTATTATGCAAGAAAAGTTTATCGGTTGTATAAGAAAAAGAAGAGAAGTGAACAACGAAGAAAAAAAGGACAGGGTAGAAAAAACAGGGAAGACGATTTCCAATGAAAGCCTTTAAGATACGCAGAGAGCGATTCGTCTCGCAGAAAACTTTCGACATGAATTGCAGCAATTAAACTTTGAAAGCTGATCTCGATTGTTGTTTATATATAGTATTTGAAAGAATATTATCGTTTAATCGATACGAAATAACTGTCTGAAAACGGTGTTGTCAAAATGTATGTAAGACAAAGTGATAAACGACTGAGTAACTATTTATAAAAGTATCTTCAATAATTTATTATTCCGAATGGATTCGGAATCTAGCCACAAAGATTGATTCACGTGTTTCGGATTTCCTGAATTTTAATCCAATGTATGTATTGCTTGGCCGATTGGACCAGGGAATATTCACATATTTCAATTTTTTTCCAACAAAAAACGCCAACTCAAAAAAATGCTTCATATTTCACAATTTGATATTCATATTTTTTAAATAAATATATATTGTGGAATAGATGTCAAATAATAACAGTGCAAAAAATATAAAATTGAAATAAACAAAGAAGACTAGAAATGAATTTTCTTGAACAATATTTTATGAATGGGAATTGAGCGAGAGTGCGAATTGAATGGGTCCGCTTTTACTTTGGATTTTCTTCCAAAAGCATTGATAGTTGAAAGGCCTCGAATATAATGAATTTTCAGTATGTCCCCTTGCGTCAGTGATAAAAGTCAATCGCTAGCCGACGACTGGTCGTTTACAATTTGCAATTTACAACGAGCGAGTTGGCGATTTACAATTTAAATAGATCCCCATTGTCTCCTCAACCCCTTCGCCAAAGCTTATGAAAAAGGTTATACCCACCCTCGGTCGCCTTTTACACCCTCCACCCCAAGCGTCAGCTGGAATATTCCATTTTGAACATTCAGCAATTTCTGCCCTGAGCCAAGTTTTAACTAGTTTTAACTATTCTGCTTCGCGTTCTTTATCTCGAAGCACAATTTTTTCAAATTTCCTGTTTGCTAGAATATCTTACGGATATTATAATAAACACCAGAATATTCGCGGCTATATTATCTGATTTTGTTATCAACTCGCTTGTGATTTGTGTGTGATTACATCGCGTATAAAAATCGCGATAATAAAATAATAAAGTCAAACTGTTTACACCTAAATAAATTAAGCTTACTAATTTACCTTTCAATGACTTTTCTTCGTTTAAGGAATCCTTCAGTCTTCCTGAATACTGCACTTCCTGTAGTGATAATAAACAAAACAATTTTAATGACACTTTGAATGCGAAAAATGTTAAATAAATAATTATGTAATATATAGTTCAATTAATGAATAAATTTTTTAAAATGTTAAATATATAGCCAAATTTAAGGGACTGCAGCGAAACTGGATTAAAAGTCTTGCGAACAAAAACGGGTTGAAATATTTTTATTAATTTATCTATTTGAAAAAGATGTTGATAACTTTTTTTCACAATTATTGTTTAAATAAATATTCTAAACCTAAAATTACTACAAACAAGTATAAATGTCTTTACTAAATAGATTAATTAATTAAAATATTCTAACTCCACAGTTTTCTGAGGCTATCAAGTTGAGACCATAAACAGCATCAAAACGTTGCATTATCAACAATTTGATACACTTTATGGTCTTAATTTGATATCCTCAGAAAAATTGTGTCATTTTATTACATCTATTTTTTTTAGAATTATAAATAGCAAATATTTTTTACAGAAGAACAAAGTTATAGTAGACTAAAAAACCGATTTAACAAAGAATACAATTTTTCTTGGCAGTTTTTTTAGTTTACTTGTATGGTAAAAATATTGAATTAGCAGTTCTAATCTGCTTTCATATCTAGATTCCATAATCCACATTTTATAATCCAGATAATGGATATAAATAGATATCCAAAGTATATGCTCCTGTAGGTGTTATTTTCCTCAGGGCATTGTCGCTTTCGTAAGGAAACTTTCTCCACAATATTGTGGTTACATTTTTGTGCCATGCGCACCTTAAAACCATTCATTTCAATGGAAATGTTTACTTCCCTAACAATAAAAGACTTTCCTTATTGTTGAATTTATATATTTCAATTATACACAAACATAATAAAATCTTCTTTAAATATAAAATTTTTTGAAAATTCCCACTTTCTGGTCTTTTATATTGACATAAAAAAATATTCATAAAAAATTTAAAGTTAAATATTTCTTGAAACATTTTGGATGAAATCGGGACTTTGTTGTAAGGGAAACATATATCTGGAATTAACTAAATGTTGCTTAGAATTTAGTGCTGTACGTGTTTATCAGAACACCCTATACTACAATTTACATTGCGCGTGTGCATCCAGTCATGTAAGAGTCACAAGGGAGCAACTATATAGATTCTAGACTCACGTGACCGGAATATATAGCGTGACAACTCAGATTAATATAAAAGCATAGAAGGAACTCAAAAAACAGAAGCAAAAAAAGCATATACTATTTTATTTTACCCTCCAGAATTTAGGGTGGCAGTAATGATGCGAAGCGTTTTCCCGTCAATCTTATATTTATACACTGTTCACGGTAACCTAAATTCCTCATCTTTAAGTTCGATATTTAATTTGAAATTTTCGGTTCCAGTCAATCAGGGCAATGAACGAGGAGGAAGACCATAAATGGGACAAAAAAATTCTTGAAATTTTCTTTTTCTTTTTTATACTGTTATCAAGATACGACAAAACTAATCTATAGTTTATTTTAAAAAAATTTTATTTGTCTTTTATTTGTTGAAATTAACTTCCGTCAGAAACTTTTGGGCACGAAATTTAAAATTACCCAGGCATTTATGCTGCTACGATTTCATTCATCATTGAGTTCGCGTGATGAATCACCTCTCCGATTGGTACAAATTTATTCGCGAGGTTGACGCGTAACGCAAATCGTACATGCGTATCGCATGCATTATTAATTGTAAGGACGAGTATGTGCATGCACGAGATAATACCTGAGCAGCACGTTGCGATTTGCACCAACGTTTCCTATCCGTTATTACGACGACGATAAGGCGACTACATGACTAACATCAAACATGTATAACACACCGAGCACACTCTACTGGAATCCGTTTCAATACCGAATAAAAAAGTTCAAATTTTTTGTTTTTTAGAAACTTTTAATAATAAGGCAAGTTAAAGGAAAAATAAAGGTAAGGATTTCTATAAATTCTTAGGTTCTGAAGTGATAATTATTACAACCTCTACAAAGCAACAACAATGCAACAAAGGCAAAGATATCAATTTCAATATTGGTAAAAGTAGTCAGATATTTATATGACGCATGTGTAAAACATGTGTTGAAACAAACAAATCTATTTCGCAAGGAATAAAAAAAAATCTAACAACACGTGTATATTTAAAAAAATGTAACACCCCGCGCATGTGACAAATAAACGAGTGTTATAATCGGAGGCCGAAAATATTCTGTTTGACATTTACAGACAAGACCTGCAGAGGCATAAATCTGACTTGTAAAAGTAAAGATAATCGTAAATCAATGTCTTTGAAATACAAGTTATAGACTGAAATGCAGCTCATGGCTTTCCCAGCGTTTTTCCTCTCGTCGCGCAGTGGTATTATTGTTTTTCAAAGGAGTGAAAGGATTTACATTTGAATCGATGATGTCACTATGTCCAAACGATCGCGGCTTAATTCAAGGGTTCTTCCCCGTATCAATCAACTGCTACTGATGATTAGCAGTGATAATTCCGAGACAAGTTGAATACTGGAAAACGTTTTGTGAGTTTTTGTATGAATCGTGACAAATTGCATATATTTGAATGCAACACTCTTTCTCTAGTGGCAATTTTATGGAAAATCGTCCTCTCGATATATGGAAAATTGCGATCCTTCAGTTGTTACAAAAAAGGGGGATTAGCAAAAAATTGTCAATGGATAAATTTGAGAGGCGAGACAAAATATTTTTTCAAATTAAAAAAAGAAAGTGATATAATCGAGGTTTTCTAATTGCTCATCGTATTTTTCAAGCTTTCAATTATTCAAGTGTTCATTAAAGTCACTATTTTACAGTATACAATCCTCGCATCACGGGATTCAAGGACTCATCATAGATGTTGAAAGAATGATGTATTTACTGAACACATGGGAGTAGCTCATAAATTTTTATCCTCACCTTTCTTTGACATAATCAATCTGACATTTATTCAAGTTCATCTGAGAGTAAAATGTGAAAATTCTTTTTCTTATTAGTCGCACGACATTAGGAAAATAGACTGGAAAAGTTTTCATTATTTACAATTAATACGTTGCAATTTACATGAGTAAAATAGATCTTAAATTTTGGTTTATTAAATTAAAATGAATAAACAGAAAACACGATAATTGCGAAAACTCGAATTCTTTTGAACAAAAGTAATAAGAAATATTGCCGAAAGTTTACAGGAAAAGTATGCGAAAAAGCTTCAAAGGATTTGGGGCCATATTATTAAACAATGAAAAAATATATCTGATTCTTATAGGTAAAAGAAGAATGGAAGTAGGTCAACTCAACTTGTCGTTTGTGATAGATGGAAATTATGCACGTTCTTGTCACACGTCAATAATGTAAAATTTCTCAATTTAGCTCAACAAAAAAGGAAGTATATGCCAAGTATAAAAAATGTTCTTTTCTTTTCCCATAATAGTTATCTTTCGTCCTTTTTTTGCCCTTATAACATGCCACTATTATCGCAAGGATTGGGAGCAAACAAACGATTTACGTGCAAATCTTATTTGCGCCCCTACTCAAGCGCGACGTCAACCTTCTCTCGAAAACCAGTCACGATTTTGCTTTTCCCTCTCTCCCACCTTCAAAAAAAGAAATAAAAAAAGACTAACTTTGGACACCACTTTGGTTTTAAAGAAAACCAACGTTTGCATCCTCTTTAAATTATTCTAATATACAAAATTTGACAAAACTAATAATTAGTGAAAATTCTTGCTGATTCAGATTTAGAGAGTTATATGAAGAATTTTTTACCCTAAAAGTCAAAAGGGTCGAAGAAATATGAATGAGCAATCGCTATACCACAAAGAAACATAGCACTTTTAGAACAAAGCATTTTAAAATCGAAAAATCAGCTTTCTGTATTATTACTGGTGTAATTTGTCGAAGGACAGAAACTCACTCGTATATAGTGAAACAAATTGAAGGTGGAATGTGTATGTGCAACAATTCGCCAAGTGTAGAAAATATAGAAACGCTCGAAGGAAGACAAGATCCTGATTGGGTTGTAGCTTCGATAAGAAACGAAGGAAGAAGTAGAAGAAGAAGTAGAAGAAGAAGAAGACGACGACGAAGAAAGTATTAACCTCAACTTGGATGGTTGCATAGCGGGGGACCGTTTAAAAGTCCCGCCAAGGCCAGATGTAAAAAAGGAAGGTGGTGCTGTTTGTGGTGGAGAGTCAGCCCCAACGTGATCTGGTAAAGCAGTGGCTTTAAAGTACAGTCCAAAGCATCGCTTCAGCAATGGCATTAACCTCCTCTCATTTTCTTTTATTGTTGCATATACGTACATTTTGCATTTACTTTTCATATTTTTTTCTTGGCCGTCCGCAGAGTCAGCAATTACCACTGAATAAAAATGTCAAGACATGATAAAACGAGAAGTGCCGTGTTATTTTCAGACACACTCTCAAACTAAATATACTCGTTTTACATATTGGCCTTTTTTCATTGAGTTGGCTCTTCATATCCTCCGCGTAATATTTTAGCACCGTAATATTTATTTATTATCTACTGATAGGCTAAATTTGTTTACACAATTTTTTTTAATATTCAAACCATTGTTTGGGGGGATAATTGATAATTTTTTTTGATATATTGAAAAGTTGGTAATAATAATGGAAAGACATTTTAAATGAGACAGTAAAAATTAAGGGCCCACTTGCAATTTGTTTGGAGCTTTTGTTTATTGTTTTCTTTTATATAATAGCAGCTCTCTTGTGACACGTAAGGCTTCCACCATTTTCACGTAAAGATTTTATATCTGATACAAAAGCGACCAACGAAATTAGTTCAGTTTACGCTGAATCCACTTCTCTGCTGGAGGGGAAAATTAAATTCCTTATATTGTTGGGATGCACTCTTTGTATTTCAGACAGCAGCAATATGCGAATTGAGGCCAGAAAAGAATTGAGCTATATATACATATATAAATATCGATTTCAGGCCATTGTGCATCGTAATTAAAA